AGAGCCTAGCCCAGCACCTGGCAGAGAGCAAGAGCTAGGCAAATCTTTTTTTAAACAAAAGAACCATCCTATGAAACCAGGATTGTCGTCTTAGCACAGGGCATCTGGGTGCTCAAAGAGGCTAAAGGACTTGCCCAGGGGGAGAGCCAGGCCGAGATCTGGTCTTAGCTGCTGTGGAGTGACTCGAGAGAGAAGGAAGGAGGAGCAGCTGGGGAGGCTTCGAGGCCCAAAGGGGCGGGTACTCAGCCTGCTGGAGCGCTCTGGCTCCAGCAGTACCCAGGACTCAAGGGCTGGGCTGTGGAGAGGCTGCCTCTGGGGCTCTGGGCGGGGGCACCAGCTGACGCAGAGGAGCTCCTGGTGCCAGGCGCCTGGGACCGTGTGCCCAGCCCAAGAGGTGCTTGCCAGCCTGGCCCCGTGCCACCCCAGACTATACAGTTGTAGCCGTAGTTGGCCTTGACTGCTCAGTGAGCTCATGCCGAGGGGGTGGGGGCTGGCCACCTGGGCACAGGAGGCCCCAGTAGCTGTCCTGGGTTCAGGTGGAGCCTCCCCCTCCACGGCCTGCCTTGCCCTCAGCCAAGCTCTGCAGCCCCCTAGCCCTCCTGAATGCCCAGCCCTGCCCTCTGGGGCCTGGGTGAGGCCCCTCTGCCAGCCTTCCCTGGGCTGCCCTCCTCCTAAGAGGTGAGGGGCCTCCAGAGGGGCAGTCCCCTCTGTCTGCACCCGCCCCCTCTGACTGGGCCTGAGGGGAATTTTCCTGTGACTCACTCTGCTGGCACTTCCTGTGGTCACTAGGGTAGGGGCTAGGGGACCCAGCGGGTGGCTCTGTGTTCTGGGGTCACTGGGGGAGGGTGGGATGTGATTCCCTGAGGCAGGCAGCAGACCATATTTGGGAAATGCTTTTCTTGCAGGCAGCTTGAGGATGGCCCGTGGGCTCCGGTGGGCTGCAGGGCAGCCCCCACCCCTGCCTGCTCCTCCCGGGGCTCTGGCCTCGACCTGCTTCAGCCTCCTCTGTCCCATCCTGGCTTGGAGCCTGGGAGGTAGTCCACTGTTTTCTTTTTCAGGATGTGTATTTTTCAACCCCAAAGTCAAGAAATGCTCATTAAATACAAATTGAAAAATTCTGAAAAACAGGAAGAGAAGCATCCCCCTTCATCTCAGACATTAACACTCCTTCTTACCCTCTCTCATTTTTTAAGTTTGATGCTTTATTGAGACATAACTTACGCTTCAGTGCGTTGACAACTCTGTTGTGATCATGGTGTGGACAGCGTTGCAGCAACTGCAGTTCTGAAGGACTTTGTCCTGCTGCTCGCCTTGGTGCTGGGCTGAATCTGCCTGGACTGCCTTCTGCCCTGGGCCTTGCCCTGGCCTCTGGCCCTTTCTGGGGCCGGAGGCTCTGAGCTGCTTTGGAGAAATGGGCTCCCTGCTGGTTCTCTGCAGGCCTGAGAGTGCAGTCGTGGGGCCTGGAGCACCTGCTGCCTGCCTGGGCCTCCTTTCTGGGCCACCGTCCTCTTTGGTGATGTTCGGTCCTCTTCCCTAATCCTCCGTACAGCAGGCGGGGGAGATGGAGCCCAGAGGGGCACTTTCTGGCAGCAGATACTGGTGTGGAGGGAGGGGGTAGACCCTCCTGGACTTGAGGCCTCACCCCTACTCTTTTCTCGAGTAGGGCCCCAGCTCCCACTTGCTATTTCTGCCCAAGGGGGATGTGGCCTTTCTTTTCCACCTAGAATTCCAGCTCCTGCTTGACCCCTTGGAGATGGAGTCTAGGGGACAGAATGAGACTCAGGCCCAGGCGGGATAGGTCACACAGCAAGTGGGTAGCCAGAACCCAGGTCCCATTTCCAAATCAGGGGTCTAGACCAGGCTCTGTGTCCTCAGACTGCAGGAGACTAAGAGGAGGGCAACCAGAGCTGAGGCCTGGCTGGTGGGGCCAGAGCCTAGATGGCCTGGCACTGTCCTCTCCACAGGCCTGGCTTCTCTCATGTGTGAGGCTTGGGCCTCTGCTGAGCCCACTGAGCTCTCTGGGTAGCCAGGGCCTCCTGCTGCCCTAGGAGGCCAAGGCAGCCCTGGCCGCCTCTCACCCAGGCACCCCTTTGCTTCTGCCCTTTCCTGGAACTGACCTTGACCCTCCAGCTGGGGACCTTCTGTGATATCTCTGGGCCCAGCCGGAGCCTGGCACCTGCATAAGGCGGGGGGCAGTGGCAGCAGTGGCCAAAGACTGAAAAGGAAGAGGCCTCCCTGCCCGGGTTCTCTATCCCAGTGGCATGCTAGGCCTGCCAGCTCAATGTCTGCCCGTGCTGTGGTCCTCCCGCCTCTGGTCCCACAGCCTCCCTCAAGTTCCCCAGAGCTGCTTGGCTGCAGGGCCTCTCCGTGCCAGGGCCCCATGGAGCACATGTCCCTGCTCCAGGAGGGTTTGCTGACTAAGGGAGCCTCATGGCGGTGCCCACTTCTGGGGTAGCTGTGAGCATCACAGGAGTAAAGGTGGGCTAGGGGTGCTGTTCTTTGGCGGTCCTCGGTCTGTATGAGAGCACTTTTCTCATTTTCCCCATTCATTCCTGCTGCCTGTCTCATTCCCTTCCTTCTTCCAGAAGCGCCCATGCTAATGTAATGTGTCTGGAATCTGTCCTTGGATAAGTGTCTGTGAAAAATACGTAGACTTGTTTTATAGACGTTTGTAACATTTACGTAAAGGCTTTTGGGCTGTAGATCTCCTGTTTGTTCTTCTCAGTCAGGAGGGCATGCCTGACATTCCTCACCAGATACCTGGACACCTACTGGAGCACAGAGCAGAGTCACCGATGTGCGTGTCCTGGTTTGCTGGCTGGAACCCTGAGCATCCTTTGTGGAGATCTTGGCCATTGTGTTTTCCCTTTCAGAGAACTCACTCCAAGTTTTGTTGGTTTTCCCTTGGTGTTCTTGTCTCATCCTTGCTGGTTTGTAGGAGCATCTCCAGATTCTAGATAAATCACTCTCTTGTCATTTGGTGACCTGTCACCCTGTCAGCTTTGTGTTGTCCACTATCCAACAGAAACTGTTCATTTCGATGAGGTTGAATCCATCTATTTGTTTTTGTTGTTGTTACTTTATATTTTGTATTTTTGGGGTCTTTGTTTTTGGGGTTTTGTTTTATAATTTTTTCCCACATCAAGGTCACAAAAATATTCTCCTGCTGTTTTTTCTTTTATTAGCTCTAGAGTTGTACCTTTCACATTTAGGTCTTTCGTTGCTCGTTGGTTTTAAATGTGAGACAAGTGTCCAAATTGGTTTTTCTTCTTCCAGTGACTGAGTTTGCCTGCTGTCACCTTTGATGCAGTCTTACCCTTCCCCTCGCCATGTGGTACCGAGTTCCCGTAGAGCAGGGCCTCTTCTGAGCCCTGTCCCGGCCGCAGGTCCCAGTGCTGCTCACTGATTTAGAGTGTGGCATGTCCTCACGGCCAGTGCTCCTTTGCCTACCATTTTCAGAATTGACCTGCTTGTTCATGGACCTCTAGTCCCCCATTTAATTCTAGAAGGATTCTTTTTCTTTGGTCTGATATATCAAAAAAAAAAAATCCTACTGGCATTTTTATTGTAATTGTAATTTATTAAGTAAGCTTGGGCACATGGGCTTTTTACAGTGCTTCGTCATCCCACCATGAACTTGGTATGTTTTCCCCTTTATTCGGGTTTTCCCTTGAGCCCTTTGTCTGAGCGTAAGCATTTTTTCCTCTGAGGTCTCGTGCAGCCTTTGCTTGATTAATTCCTGGAGAGCTTGTAGCCTTTGTTGTTATTGTGCGACGTCTTTTCCGTGACATTTCTCATCAGTTATTGATTCTTCTAGTTTATTGGGTTTTTACATAGATGATCATATGGTCTGCAGATGATGACCGTTTGTCTCTGTGTGTTCCCTCCCCCCTTCTTTCTCGTGTTTTCCTCTTGGCTGATTGCACTGGCAGGGCAGGAGGACTGATGAGTTGGAGCAGGGAGGGTGTGCATCCTGTTTTCTTCCCAGAATGTGGTGGCCATTACTGTCATTATTGCTACTCGCCCCAGTGTTGGTCTGGGTTGTAGTGTGACTTTGGGGGTGGTTTTTAAGGGTATCTTGAGTGCCATCCCTGGATTGTAGGTGGTGGCAGCAGTCAAGAGGATTTTGAGGTGTTCTCTGGGCTTATTTGAAAAAAAAACACAAAATCAACAGGACCTTTCTGTGGGGGGCAGTGGGGGAGGAGGCGCCAGGATCTTGCCAAACCCTGCCTAGTTCCTTTCTCAGTGCCAAGGCCAGAAGCCTCAACAGTCCTGGAAGGGTGGGAGCTCAGTGGCCCACCAAGTGCACACTCAGTGCACACCCTCCTGCCTTCATGCCCACCTGTGTCCTCTCTCCCCAGAATGTGCTGGCCAAAGCCCTGTATGACAACGTGGCCGAGTCCCCCGATGAGCTCTCCTTCCGCAAGGGCGACATCATGACGGTGCTAGAGCGGGACACTCAGGGCCTGGACGGCTGGTGGCTCTGCTCACTGCATGGGCGCCAAGGCATTGTGCCTGGGAACCGCCTCAAGATCCTCGTGGGCATGCATGACAAGAAGCCGGCAGGGCCCGGCCCCGGCCCACCTGCCACCTCAGCCCTGCCCCAGCCTGGCCTGCACACCCCGGCTACCCAGTACACGCCTATGCTGCCTGCTGCATACCAGCCCCAGCCCGACAGCGTCTACCTGGTGCCCACCCCCAGCAAGACTCAGCAAGGCCTCTACCAAGCCCCTGGGCCCAGCCCACAGTTCCAGTCTCCTCCGGCCAAGCAGACGTCCACGTTCTCAAAGCAGATGCCACATCACCCATTTCCCAGCCCAGCTCCGGACCTTTACCAGGTGCCACCAGGGCCTGGCAGTCCCGCCCAGGACATTTACCAGGTGCCGCCTTCTGCTGGGATAGGGCATGACATCTACCAGGTCCCCCCTTCCCTGGACGCACGCAGCTGGGAGGGGGCGAAGCCACCAGCAAAGGTAAGGCCACACTGGCACAGCTGGGCAGTGCCCCTGCTCGCCCAGGCCCCAGTTTCTGGTCACAGCAGGGCCCAGATAAGCACGTTTGGGGTCTCCGGGGCTCCAGCAGCGCCTGCATGTTTGGTCTGGTGTCACCGGGAGGAAGTGAACATTTGGGGAATGTGTTCATCCTTCTGGTGAAGATGGGTGTGAACAGGCTGGGGTAGCCCAGCAGTGCAACCTCCGAGCTGGCCTTGGATGATGAGGTGGCCTTCAGGAGTGGGAGGTGTCACTGTGAGGCAGAGGATGCAGCTTGTCTAAGACCTGGAGGTATGGAAAAGTGTCTGCATTCCAAGTGGGCAGGTGAGGCTTGGCCGATGAGCCAGAGCAGCAGGTTGGGGACAGACTCCCAGGGCCTGGTGCCCCCTGAAGGACCAGCTGCCTTCCTGAAGGGGGAAGGTTTTGCATAGGAGTAACCTGCCCAAATCGGTGTCCTAGTAAAGTCATTCTGCCCACAGAGAGGAGGGTTTGGGGAGCATTGAGGGGTCCAGACTGGGGCGGGGAGCCCAGGAAAAAGAGGGTTGTGAGGGGAAAAGTCAAGTATGGGGCTCAGTGTAGCAGCTAGGCGAGGGTGGTCAGAAACCCAAAAGTGGATTGACGATAGAGACGTTTCTTTCTCACACACCGTGATCTGGAAGTGAGGAGTACAGGACTGATGGCAGACTGTCGGGCCACGGTTCCTTCCGTCTTGTTGCTCTGCCATCCTTGATGTGGGGCTCGTGTCTCATGGTCCAGGGTGGCGGCTGTGTGAGCTCCAGCCAGCATGGCTGCATCCTGGCCAGCAGGGAGAGGAGGGAGGGACAGGGGAGAGGCCATCCACCTCGTGCCCAGGGCCTCCCCTGGGTGTGTGTGTCAGCCCCTTGGACGAGGGTGGAGCACATCTTCTGACCAGCCCTGCTCCGCAGGTGTCCAGCCCGTCTCCTCTTCTGGGGCATGTTAGTGTGCCAGCGGGTGCCTGCAGGGTGACCTGTTTGTGACTTCTGGAATGTGGGGAGGACACTGCCTGTGGGATTGCCATAATAGGGTCACCCTGAGAGAGACTCTGGTTCCAGTCCCTGTGGACTTTTGCTGATGGGATGCTGGGCCGGGGGACACGGCTCTGATCCCAGCACCCTCACCTCCACACCGGCCTGCTGTGGGCCCCTACGTGCCTAGTCCATCTGCCTGTGAGGAGGAGGCGGGACTGAAGAAGGAGGCCAGACCCTCACCCTCACCTTCAGCTTTGGGCTCGATCAGAAGCAAACTTTTCTTCCCTTTGGCCTGTGTCTTCCCATGCCAAGTCCCTTCAAGAGTTAGGGAGTGGCGTTTCCTGAGGCCTGGAAGCAGAGGAGGTGTCCCGTGGGCTTTGAGAACAGAGCTGTCATACTCAGCTCTGTCTCCTCCATGGCTGCTTCCCCGTTATAGCTCACTCAGGAGGACGCAGAACAACTCAGCCCATGCCGCAGGGCACCCAGCCCCAGCTTCCCGACTCACCCCTCCTCAGATGGAGACCACGGTGGGTGGTGTGCCCCAGAGGCCCTAGTGGGAGAGCAGGTGGTGGGCACAGCAGCTGGCTGTTAGGAGAAGTGGCCTGGCTCTGCTGGGATCAGCTTCCTGGGACTCAGGCCCCTCCTCGTGTTTGTGCCATGTCTAATCCAGAACCGCCTTTATCTGGAGAGACAGCAGCCAAGTGGGCGTTTACCCCATGGCACTGAGCCTGTCCTCAGAGCCGGTCTAGGGTTGGCTTGTCCATGCCAGCTGGGCAGTGGATCAGCAGGCCGTGTTGTCCTGTCCCTACCCACAGGGTGGAGCTTGGCACCCAGGAAACCTGGCTGGAGGTCATTGGCAGGCTGAGAGTGGGGCTCCATGGATGCTGACCACCAGGGGACCCTGGGTCACTGGTGCCTGCTTCCTGCCCTACCTGCTCCTTCAGCTGCCTGGCAGAGATAGGCCGGTGGCAGAAGCCTGTCATTCTGGACTGGGATAGCCCAGACTGGGCTGCTCCCAAGATGGCTTTAGGGAGAGGAGCAGAGCTCTGCCAGGGGAGCATCTGTCCTGTGGGGAGGCAGCAGAGAGCAGTGGCTGGCCGGCGAGCCTTGGGACAGGCCATAGTCCATTCTCCGACACACTCACACTCACTCACACACACAGTCCACGCCCTGCACACATCCCAGGGAGGCACACCCTTTCCCCTCCCTCCTCTCCCTCCCCATCTTTTCAGTCAAGCTTGTCCTGGTGCATCTCTGAGGCTGGGGCAGGCGTGGAAGCCCCCTGGTCTGGGAAGCAGCTGTGAACCCCTTGTGTTGGGCTGTAGACTCGACCCCATGTTTTGGCTGTTGGTTCTGTTCCGCTCCTATGCCAAGGGCTTGCTCGCCGACTACCTCTGGGCTCACCTGGCTGGGCTTCTCTCTCCCGGGCCCACTGGTGGGGCTGCCCAGAGCCTTTGTCCCTCAGGGCCCTGACCTGGCTGGTGGCCCAGGAGGGAGAGCCCTGTATTACCCTCCCTGAGAAGCCTCATTGCTTCTGGCTGAGCAGCCTTCATTGCGTCTGCTTTTATTTTATAATTGTGAAAACGATGCTTGTTTGTCACAGAAAATGCATAATGTATGAAAAAGCCTAGAGATGAGATTCCCCAATCAAGAGGTAATCACTGGGAAATTTTGGCATATTTTGTCTAGCATATTGTCTATTTGTCTCTCACAGATTTGTACACATACTTTTGCATTTTGAGGTTGTAAATCCAACATTAGATGTCGAAAGCATTTTGTTGGGTCCCTAAGCATGACTGTGAGTGACGGCTGCCCCTGATTTTCTTGTGTTGCCCCCTCCCCTGGGGGCTCTAGGTGGTTTTTGACTGCCCGAGTCTTTTACAGACAGCCAGGCGATGAACATCTTGGTGTGTCTGTGCCCACATTTCAAGGCTGTGCTTTCGTAAGCTTTGTCTTCCACCTCAAGAAGTCTGGGAAACCGAGGCTCCTGGTTCCAGGGGTAGGGGTCAGCTGGGCTGAGGAGTGCCCTGCCGGGGCTGTGGGTGGGTGGATGGGGCCCAGGCACCCAGGAAGCTGGAGAGTGAATGACAAGGCTGGTGGCCAGGAGGGGTCAGAAGCCAGGAGCCTGAAGCGGAGTGGCCTGCATGACTGAGGGGAGAGGTCAGCACCCTTAGGGCTGGGGAGTGGCTTTAGGAAGCTGAGGACAGAAGCAGGTGGGGCCCCCAGAGGGGGAGGTGATTTTGTGAGTCTGTCGTAGGGGGAGTGCCTCTGAGTGAGGGGCCACAGCTGTGCCTAAGGAGACAGCTGTGGTGCTGGGTCAGGCGCTGTGGGAGGCACAGCTGAACTCCTATTCCTTCTGGATTTCACCCTGGGAAGCTTCATTGCCTCCCCAGGTTCCTGATGCGCGGGGAGGGGACCCATGCCAGGCGTGTCCCTCACTCTGTATGAGAGGTTAAATGGCCACCTCCTGTGTCCCACAGTACTCCAGCAGTGCTCCATTTCCCAGAGGAGGAAACCGAGGCTCCTAGATGGGGGTGGGACTGGGGGTGTGCCAGGGCGAGCTGGCCTGGGTCATGTGCAGTGATGTCCATGTTGCAGGAAGGGAGGTGAGCAGCCAGGCTGCCTGGAGGTGCTCCCGGGGGATCTAGAAATGAGCCTCTAGCTTTACTTCTCCCTCCTGCTCTCTCTTCACGTCCTGATGGGCCCCGCCTGCCTGGGTCTGTCTGTCTGTCTCTGGGTGTGCGTCTGGTGGTGGGTGTTGTGCATATTTTCTCGGCCTCTGTGTGTCTGTCTGCCTTCTGCACCATGGAGATGTGCTTGTGGGTCTTGGGTCGGAGTCTCTGCTCCTCCTGGACTCGGCCTGTGTCTCCACCCCCAGGGGCCTCCGGATCCTACTAATGAGGCCTCAGGTGCAGAGCAGGGTGGCCGGTGATTAGCGGGCTCAGCAGCTCTCTGGAGAGTCAGCTTCCCTAATGAGCTTTTCTGCACTGGTGCTGCCTTACTATTTTTTCCTAACAGAAAAACGTTTACTGGCCAGTATGGCTGCTTACTGTCACCAACTCAGACGCAGGAGTGGTAAGCGGCTGATAGCCCAGGCCTGGGGTCCAGCCTCCGGAGCCTTTCCCCCACGCTCCCTGCCCTCTCTCCTTAGCATGGGACTAAGGAGCACTGTCGGGGCGCAGAGTGGGTGGACGCACACCCCTCTTCGTGGGGCTGGGTCTCCACCCACCTTCCAGAGGCCAGCAGGGCCTGGAAATGCCTCAGGCCCTGCCTCAAGGCCCCGCCAACCTGCCACGTCCCGCCAGCCCCGGCCTGCCCCGCCTGCCCTGCTGTTGGCAGGTTCTAGCGTCTAAAAATAACTCTGGAGGAGACTCAAGTCTGGGGCGCAAGCAGAGAGATGAGTTTGGGGAAGGCCGCCAACTGCACTCCCAGACACACAGGGGTGGGTGCAGTGGGCGGGGAGTACCCTGTGGAGGCGCTGCGCAGAGCCAGCCTCAGAGGCCGGGTGTCGCAGGCCAGCCCTGCTGAGCTGCCCGGGAGGCGGGCACAGGATGCATCAGCAGGGGGCTCTGCCAGGCCCTAGGCTGAGCAGAAAAGTGCTGGTGCCCACGCTTCTGGGGGACACTCTGCTGCTCCTGGGGTACCCAGCATGTGCCTCTAGGGCACACAGGCGTGCAGAGCTGGCTGTCGATGTCATGGAGGCTGAGGGGCTGGGCGCAGGAACAGGATGCAGGGTTTGGGGGCGTTGAGCCTGAGGGCGGGCCTTGTCTCCACCCTGCTGCCTCCAGGGATGTGTGTGGGGAAGGCCTGAGTCAACCCTGTCCCAGACGTCCCCTTTGATTAGGGAACAAAAGGCCTTTCTGTGGGCCAAAGAGCTGAGCAGGGAGCCTCGTGAGGGAGGCGTGCCGTTCCTGGGTTAGAAGAGGCTGCAGGCCCCTCCCACGGGGCCGGGTGCCTGCCGGGAGGGAGGCTGCCCACACACCACTGCCTGCCAGGCCGCGCTGCCCCTTCCAGGCCGGGTGCTGGCAAGAAGGGCTCTCGGCAGCTTGCTGCCCTGGACCCTGGGCCGGGGGATGAGCACCAGGGAGGGGAAGGGGCTGGCCTCCTCTCTAGGCCGAGGTGCGTCTGCTAAGGCCTCCTCCCTTCAGGTGAGTGGTGGTCTCAGTGGCTCCGTGGGTGCGGTGCAGTGGGTATGGTGCAGTGGGTTCTAGTCTTGGCCACTCCCTCACACCCACACTTGACTTTCCAAAACAGCCCAGTCCCTCCATCTGCCCCAGAACTGACCCTGAAGTCTGGGAGTCCTTGGTGGCCCTGTGCTCAGGAGTCTCCCAAGATGTGCTGAGGGAGTGAGGAGGGCCAGGGCACTGTTTGCTGCTCTGCTAGACCACTGCCTCCTTGAAGCCCCAGGCCCTCACTGTTGGGATTTGCTGCAGGCCACCTCTGCTGGGCCCAGCCCGAGGCAGGCACAACCTGGCAGCGGCACCTCCCTTTGTCCTGGAGCCAAAGGCAGCTGCTGGGTTCTGCAGTCAGCACAGCCCCTTGCTGGGCAGACCTTTCTGAGGAGGATGCGGCTGGAAGGTGTCATCAGGCAGAGGCGCCCCAGTCAAGGGTGGCCTCTCCCCCATCACCCACATGTACCCTCCTCTGAACCTTTCGAGTCATCTACCTGGAGAGACCACTTCCGTTTCCTGGCCAGAGCCAGGTAGCTCTAAGCAAACCCTGGGGGTCCTAGTATTCCCCAAGTGCTGCATTTCTTTGAAGAAAGGGCAGAGAATACAAAGGGATGAGAACACTTTTGCCTCTGAGTGGCCTCTGAGGCACCCTCTCGGCGGAGTGGAATCTCTCTGAGGGTCTAAGGGTGGATCCTGGAGGCTGTCTGCCCAGGCCAGTGGTGACCGTCGGCTGTCTGCCCCCAGGTGGTGGTGCCCACCCGTGTGGGGCAGAGCTATGTGTTTGAGGCCTCCCAGCCAGAGCAGGACGAGTACGACATCCCACGCCACCTACTGGCCCCAGGGTCCCAGGACATCTATGATGTGCCCCCTGTCCGGGGGCTGCTTCCCAGCCAGTATGGCCAAGAGGTAGGTGTCAGGGTTAGGGGTGGGGGCACCTCAGCCTGGTCCTGCCCAGGAGGCTGGGCTTTCGTGGCCCCAGCCAGGATGGTCCTTGGGTGGGTGCTGTGGGTTTTGTGCTCTTTCCATCCCTTCAGGTGGCCCTGGCACCTGTGTCACTGCACATTTTCTGCCCCCAGGTATATGACACGCCCCCCATGGCTGTCAAGGGTCCCAATGGCCGGGACCCATCGCTGGACGTGTATGACGTGCCCCCCAGTGTGGAGAAGGGCCTGCCACCGTCCAACCATCATGCGGTGAGCAGTCGGGAAATGCTGGGGCCTCGCAGGCTGAGGCCTGATGGGTGCTCAGGGTTCTGGATGTGCCTGAGTGTGTGCACTGAGGTGGAGACTCACATCTGCAGGACTTGGGGCACCAAGAGACCTGACTCTAGGCCCTGGCTCTGTCCCTCACTCGCTCTGTGACAGATGTGGAAACTGAGTGCTCCTCTGAACTGAGGAGCCTCAGCTTCCTTGTCTATGAAAGAGCCCCTTGTAGCCCCTTCTTCAGCGGGTTCTTGAGAGGATCTCACAGGATGTCATCAGTAAGGTGACCATAGAATTTATCATCCAAACCAGGACACTTCTGAGAGTGAAAGAGGGTGACCAGTAATTCTGAGGGGGAATCAGGCACAAACCAGGACTCTCCTGGGGACCGGGCCATCATCACCCTGAATATAACACACAAATAGCTCAGCCAGGTACACGCAGGGAGTAGAGGATATGTAAGTGGTGGTTGTGGTGATTGTGATGGTGGCGGTGGTGATGATGATGATGATGATGATGATGATGAGGTGGTGGTGGAAGTGATGGTGGTGGTAATGATGGTGATGGTGGTGGTGGTGGTGATGATAATAGTGGTGATGGTGGTGGTAGTGATGATGGTGGTGGCGGTGGTGGTGATGATGACAATAGTGGTGATGGTGGTGGTAGTGATGATGATGGTGGTGGCGGTGGTGGTGGTGGAGGTGGTGGTAGTGGTATGACAGCTTCCCTTTCACTGAGTGTTTGCAGTTACACAGTGAATTAACTCATGTAATCCTCACAATGAGCCTGTGAGGGAGTCCTCCCATCTTATGGGTGAGCAGACAGGTACAGAGAGAGGTTGAGTCACCTACCTGCCTTAGGTGACACAACTACTAAGCAGTAGAACCAGGATTTTGAATTTAGGTCTGGCTTCAGAGTTGGACTCTTAACGAGTTATAACCTGTGGGGACAAGAATTGTGATGAATGTGTGCATCTGGGCTGTGTCTGTGTGTGACCAGGTCTTGCCCTGAGGCTTCCGGGTGGGCAGTCCTTTACAAGGGACAGGCAGCCTTGACCAACCCTCGGCCCCCCAGGTGTACGATGTTCCTCCATCGGTGAGCAAGGATGTGCCCGACGGCCCACTGCTGCGTGAGGAAACCTACGATGTGCCCCCTGCCTTCGCCAAGGCCAAGCCCTTTGACCCGACCCGCCACCCGTTGGTCCTTGCTGCTCCCCCTCCAGACTCGCCACCAACTGAGGATGTGTATGATGTGCCACCCCCTGCTCCTGACCTCTACGATGTGCCCCCCGGCTTGCGGCGACCTGGCCCTGGTGCCCTCTATGACGTGCCACGTGAGCGGGTTCTTCCTCCTGAGGCGGCCGATGGTAGCGTGGCCGACGACGGTGTGTACGCGGTGCCTCCCCCAGCTGAGCGGGAGGCCCTGGCTGATGCCAAGCGCTTGTCGGCCTCCAGCACAGGCAGCTCGCGCAGCAGCCAGTCAGCCTCTTCCCTGGAGGCGGCAGTGCCAGGTCGCGAGCCCCTGGAACTGGAGGTGGCCCTGGAGGCCCTGGCACGGCTGCAGCAGGGCGTGAGCACCACTGTGGCCCACCTTCTGGACCTGGCAAGTAGTGCTGGTGGATGTGGGGGCTGGCGCAGCACTCCCGAGCCTCAGGAGCCCCCAATGCCGGACCTGCGGGCTGCTGTGGCTGCTGTCCAGGGGGCCGTCCATGAGCTGCTGGAGTTTGCCCGCAGTGCTGTGGGCAATGCTGCCCACACTTCTGACCGCACACTGCATGCCAAGCTCAGCCGGCAACTGCAGAAGATGGAGGACGTGTACCAGACACTGGTGGCCCATGGTCAGGCCCTCGACAGTGGCCGCGGAGGCCCTGGGGCCACTCTTGAAGACCTGGATCGCCTGGTGGCCTGCTCACGGGCTGTGCCCGAGGATGCCAAGCAGCTGGCCTCCTTCTTGCATGGCAACGCCTCACTGCTCTTCAGACGGACCAAGGCCCCTGTTGCAGGGTCTGAGGGGGGTGGCCCCCTGCACCCCAACCCCACCGACAAGGCCAGCAGCATCCAATCCCGGCCCCTGCCGTCACCTCCCAAGTTCACCTCCCAGGACTCGCCAGACGGGCAGTACGAGAACAGTGAGGGGGGCTGGATGGAGGATTATGACTACGTCCACCTGCAGGTGGGTGCCCGCCCTGCCCAGGTTCCCAGGGCCCCTGGGGAAGCACCCTGGCCTCTTGGGGCTCTGACTTTGCTACCCCTGTAGTGGGGACCCTGATCCCCGACACACACAGAGGGCTTTTGTAGCCAAAGGAGGATGGGGCCCCAGCCTCAGTGAGTTCCTGGGCCCTCCTCTCACTTTCATCTTCCAGGCTAGGTGTCCACCCTGAAGCCCATTCCTTTCTCCACGTCAGGCCTTTGGGCCGACATGGCCATGTCATCAGGGGTCCTGCAGTGCCAGCCAGGAATGGCTCCCGAGCACCTGCAGGGGCCAGGCTTCTCTCACCAGAGACCAGGGCAGAGGTGGCTCTTTTCTGTTTGGGGAGATGGACTCTCAAGTCTAAGCAAAGACAAAGATATTTCCAGGCATGGGGGCAATAAATAAAACCAGGCAATGGGAAAGTGGGGTAGGCGTGGGCTCTGAGCAGAGAGCTGAGTACCAGCCAAGTAGACCTCCTGGGAGGAGCGTTCCAGGCTGAGAGCTGGCAGGTCCCAGGGCCCAGTGGTCAGGGACCGGTGGGCAGGCCCTATACACTGAGGAGAGGGGCTTGGATGTGATTCCTGGCATGGGAGCCAGGGAAGGGAGCATGGCCGTGGCCACCAGGAGTGTGCCCGACCCCTTCCTGTCCTGGCAGGAGGTGAGGGAGGCCCAGGAGAACTGCTTTCTCAGGAAGCTGCGCTCACCCTGGGCCTGGTGGTGGCAGCACGGACCTGGGTGTAGTGTGCGGCGCCACCTGGTGGCAGCTCTCCTTGCACTGCACCCCACCGGGCCTGTGGGGGCTTCTGCCTCAGCCCAGTCTCCTGTCTCCCCTCCAGGGGAAAGAAGAGTTTGAGAAGACCCAGAAGGAGCTGCTGGAAAAGGGCAACATCATGCGGCAGGGGAAGGGCCAGCTGGAGCTGCAGCAGGTGAGGACACTCAGGTTCCCTGGCTTCTCCCAGCACAGGCTTCTCTGTCAGCGAACCCAGCCTTCCCTCGGAGCCTGTCTCCGGAGCTGAGCCTCCGGGGCCGCCCTGCTCTGCCGTGTGCTGTCTCCAGGTGTTTAAGTTGTTTGCAGAGTAATCATGGTGGACGTTTCATAGAGCATGCACAGAAAAGTGTGAAAAAGCAGAAATAAGCCCCCCACACCCAGAGGTGGTCACCGGTTACTTGGCATGGTGTCCAGTCCTGCTCCTGCCCCCTAGGGGCCTCTCTCTCTGTGTTTGAGATGATACTTTGTGAGCACTTACGTCTGCTTTTTTCTCAAGATTTTTCCATGGCATTAAACGTTTCTCGTAAACTGTTTTAAAGGCCACATGATGTATATTATTGTTGAATGTTTATGCGATACCCAGTTTTCCTTATTATAATAATACTGCTGGCTTTATCTGCAGACATAGAATTTTCTTCATATTTCATATCATTTCCTGATGGTAGAAAAGGGATATACAAAAAAAAAACTAAGGAAGCTTTATTCTGATTATGAAGATAATTTAAAAAATTAAAATACAGACTAGCGCAAAATAAACAGAAATGTCACCCATAAAATTTCCCTCCCACCCTCCCCCCAGGCATGGGGGAAGGACAGCATAGCAGAAAGCTGCCGGCTCCACCCAGAGACCCAGGACACAAGCCACAGGGTCCTCAGCTGTAAAGGCGGGATCACAGTTGTATTCGTCTCAGGATCGTTGTGAGAGTTAAATGAGTAAAGACTATACAATGTTTAGGAGGTGCCTGGCACATAGAACATGCTTGGTGAAGGAACAGATGTTAATAATTACATATATATATATATATATATATATATGTATAATGCATGGAATCTCCAATGGTTTAAGAAATGGTCATGTGCTTGATCCTCTTTATCTTCCTCTGACATCTTCCAGCATCTATTTAAGCAGTCCCTTGTTGGTGGACATCCATGTTGTTCCCAGAATTACTTTTGTAAACAGTACTATGCTGAAAATGAATCTCTTCACATATCTGACTGATCACTTAGGTAAATTACTAGAAGCTGGAATATAAGGTAGGAATATGTATGAAAAACTCTACAGATCTAGAGTTCCTAAGCCAGGGGCATAAAGTACAGGTAATATACAGGCACATAAAATATATTGACAAGGATGTTTATTGCTCCATTTCCATATCACAGAAAAATCTGGACCCCCCCGCAAATGTCTAATCGTAGAGTACTATTTGAATAAAGTATGAATATTCGTGCAGTAGAATATTATTCAGCTATTAAGAAATGTCAGAGAATGAGAAAGACCCACTAGCGTTTAAAACAAAAAACTGAGGGTATTCTGGGGCTGGCCCCGTGGCCGAGTGGTTAAGTTCGTGCGCTCCGCTGCAGGCGGCCCAGTGTTTCGTTGGTTCGAATCCTGGGTGCAGACATGGCACCGCTCATCAAACCACACTGAGGCAGCGTCCCACATGCCACAACTAGAAGGACCCACAACTAAGAATATACAACTATGTACTGGGGGGCTTTAGGGAGAAAAAGGAAAAAAATAAGATCTTAAAGAACAAAACAAAACAAAACTGAGGGTATTGTCTTGCTGGGGAAGTTCGTGAAGGGGCTGCCTAAGCGGGGCAAGTCATAGGGTTCCAGTGTTAGGAAGGGCTGTTTCAGGTGGGTTTCGCTAATGAAATTCAGGCTTGAAAACGTGGGTGGAATGGAACTTGTCTGTCCCTGGGTCTGTGCACAGCCGGTCACAGCCAGTCAGCCCCCTGGCCAGAACCAGCTCTGGTGAGGACATTTTGGTCCACCCCGATGACCCCCAGCGAGGGCTGCCACTGGTGGAACGTTCGCTTTGGCCACATGCTTTTATGCGTACTCATTGACCTGAAATGAATGGCCTATTGTTGGCTGCTAAAAGTAGGCTCGAAATATTGTATACGGTGTGTCGCCAGTTTTCTAATTGAGAAGGAAATAGGAATATTCATGTTTAAAGGAAAATGAGTTGAATATTCACCAATTTTTTGTGTGAATTTTTGTTTTCTGGAATTTTACAGATATCGTAATCTTTTGTTTACAGTTTTTATTATGGAAAATGTAAATATATTTATAAAATAGTCCCTCAGGTACCCACTGGATAAAACAGACTCCCAGGTGCCATTTACCCAGCCCCTCCCCATCTCAGCACAGCGGCTGATCCTGTCTTAGATGCCCCCTCTCCCCACCAAGTCATCTTGGAGCCATTGTATCACTTCATCTGCGAATGCTTCAGTGTACAGTTGTAAAAGATTTTCCGGAATCTTAACAGAGATTGTTTCTGGGTGCATAGGATTCCAGATGACAGCTGTCTTTTTTCCTGCTTGGTGTATTTGAATCTTTTTATAATGTATATGTTAAGGAGAAAATGTGTGGGGTTTTTTGTTTTTTTTTACTTTTCATTTTGAAATATTTATAGAGTCACGGGAAGTTGCAGAGTCCAGAGCAGTCCTGTGTCCCCTCACCCAGTTTCCCCCATGATCACATCCTGGGTGACCAGAGGACAGTCCCCACGCCGAGAGATTGGCGTCCCTCACCCCCGCGGCTGTGCTTTGTTCTTTTCTATCATTTCTTCATTTAAAAAACTTTATATAAATGGAATCATACCTTTTGAGACTGGCGACAAAATTATTTGGAGAATCTCTAGAAGGTTAGTAAGGATGTGTGCTCCGCCAATGGGACAGAGACAGCCTGCTCCCCACGCCCCTGCTGACTCTCAGGACTGTCCCTTTTTAGAAGGGAGCCATTTTTTTCCCCCTTTTCTCTGTGGCCGCGGTTTTTACTCTGCTTTCCTCTGCCCCAGCTGAAGCAGTTTGAGCGCCTGGAGCAGGAAGTGTCACGGCCCATAGACCACGACCTGGCCAACTGGACACCAGCCCAGCCCCTGGCCCCCGGGCGGACAGGTGGCCTGGGGCCCTCAGACCGGCAGCTGCTGCTCTTCTACCTAGAGCAGTGCGAGGCAAACCTGACCACGCTGACCAACGCGGTGGATGCCTTCTTCACCGCCGTGGCCACCAACCAGCCCCCCAAGATCTTTGTGGCACACAGCAAATTCGTCATCCTCAGTGCCCACAAGCTGGTGTTCATCGGGGACACGCTGTCGCGGCAGGCCAAGGCAGCTGACGTGCGCAGCCAGGTGACCCACTACAGCAACCTACTGTGCGACCTGCTGCGTGGCATCGTGGCCACCACCAAGGCCGCCGCCCTGCAGTACCCGTCGCCCGCTGCTGCCCAGGACATGGTGGACAGGGTCAAGGAGCTGGGCCACAGCACCCAGCAGTTCCGCCGGGTCCTGGGCCAGCTGGCAGCTGCCTGAGAGCGGATGACCAGAGGGATGGAGGGCAGGGGAGGAGGGCAGTGGTGGTCCGAGCTGCCCCGGGTACATGTTCCAAGAAGGTCGCCATGCCACGGGCATGGGGACAGGCAACCTCAGTTCTGCGCGGGCCTGGTGCTCTAGACTGTCCAGGGGTTTGTACATATTTATGATGGGGCAGGATGTGGGACGGTGCCTCCTCAGAGGAGCCCAAGCAGAGCTGGGCCCCCAGGAGCTGAGGCCGGGCTGGTGGTCTTCCCTGAGTGTGCTGCAGGTCCAGGGAGGGTCCCAGTGCCGGGGACCGGGCCAAGGGCACACAGGCTCCTCAAGCCGCATTGCCTCGGGTGACTCCTAGGGCTGACGTCAGCCCTGGAGGGTTCTTGTTGCCCCCACAAGGCAAATGCAGCTGTGGCCTGTTCCTTCTCTGCACCAGGAAAAAACCTTAAAAAACTATTTTTCATTATTGATTTTCCAATCATTTGACTAATAGTCTACGTTTAAATAAAATTTAAAAATGAAAAGCAGCCTCCTGAGGTGTGAGAGGCAAGAGGGCCCATGGGTGGGAAGGCAGATGCTGCAGGCTAGGAGTGGGGGTTGAGGGGGCTCCATGGTGAGGCTGTGGGCGGCCTCTTGGGAGGGTGAAGAAAAAGTGGGTTCCTTCAGAAGAAAACCAAGGCCCGAGGAAATGGCTGGGCTGGGGAGTTGAGGCTGGAGTGTCTCCTGCAAGGTGGGGATGAGGTTTGCAAATGGCCATGAGACCTGGGGAGCTGGGCGGGGAGGGCTGTGGCCAGGCCTGGGCTTTGAGGTCTTATGCAAAGACAGCACGGTCCCAGGGCAGGTGGCCAGAGTAAGGACAGAGGTGGGGACAGGAGCAGCTCCAGAAGCAGGGTGAGCCCTTCTGGGGCCCCCCACATCCCAAGGCAGAGAGCTCACTGCTGAGGGCACTGCTGAAGGATACACGATTCCACACAAACAGTCGCTTTCACAGACTTTATCCAGAACTTTGCTCTTAGAAAGAAGCTCATAATTTCAGCCTGTGGAACTTCTTCCAAAGTGTCTTATTTGAATTACACATGGACTTGGCCTCCCAAGTTAGGAGGTGGGGGCCCAGAGAGGCCATTGTCCTGGGGCAGGGCCCTCTCCAGACCTCTGGGAGTATGTCTGGCACCCTAGGTGAGGTGAGAGCCCCGGGAATCAGGAGGTGCTGCTCCCGGCTCTGACCGTTCTGCATGTGAACTTGGGCCTCAGTTTCCCCATCTCTACAAAGAAGAGAGTGGGGCTGGGTGATCTGCCAGCCATCTAGGCTCTGAACTGCCCAGAGGGGGCCTGAGTGAAGGCAGCCGTCTCCCACCTTTCACCCACCCCAGTGAAGACAGTGAAGATGCATGCAGTTGCTCTCATGGGTTTATTTGGGTTTTACACAGATGGGTGGTGGTGGTGAGCAGGGTCTCACTTGGTCTCAAGAACCTCTTGAACCCAGGGAATAAACTCAGTGACCCGGGCATACACGCCTGGTGAGGATGGGAGACACCGGCTGCTGCCCCAGGACACGATGCCCACCAGAGTCCAGGTTCCATCTTTCTGGCAGACAAGGGGCCCGCCAGAGTCGCCCTGAGGAGGAGAAAGGACTTGTGTCCAAGCCTGAAAGGGGGTGCCAGCGCCCTAGTGTGCCCTGGTCTGGCCAAGTCCAGGGCGGGGCTGAGAAATGAGGAGTGTGGGCTCAGGCCATACACAGCTACTTGGATCTGGTTGAATGGCAGCCCCAGCTCTGCCACCTACACCTGGAGGGCCTGGGGCAGGTGGCTTACCCTCTCAGCCTCACCATCGTCTGTAAAATGGGCCGAAAACAGCCAGCCCCCGGGGGGTGGTGGGGGTTAAAGACCCCTGGGAAGCCCCGCCCACGCCCGGCCAGAGCGAGCCCTCCGGGGGCATCTGTTAGTGCTGGTCTTGCCTTTCGCTGGGGCACCGGGCAGGGAGCAAGCTTAACAGGTCGTGGCAGGAAGGAGTGGCCCTCCTGGCCAGACCAGGGTGGGGCACGGTCAGTGAGGGTGGGCACCGTGCCACCCTGCCGTGAGGACATACCATGCAAGAAGAGACGCCGCTGGCGCCAGCGCAGACCATCGAGTTGGCGATGTTGCTGCCCCAGTACTTCTTGCAGTCGGTGTTGGACAGGAGGGGCAGGACCGCCTGCTGCAGCTTGTCGGGGGTCTTGCTGGCTGGAGGGACAGAGCGGGTGGGGTCAGGGCCCCTCTTCCCACCCAGCCCACCCCAGGTGGAAGGGCCCGGGGACGGCTTGGAGTCCTGCCCTGGCCTTTCCAGGTCCTGGTCCTTCACCATCGCGGTGACCATGGAAACCGAGCTCCGCCCCTCCCCTTAGACCTGAGCGGCGCCTGTGGGACTCAGTTCCCTTGCGGGTCCACACCAGGCGGGGGGACTCGGCTTCAAGCACAGTCGTTCAAACAAGCCCTGCCCTGCCAGCCCCGGCGCCGTGTGGTGGGCGGAGGGGCCTCGTCTCCCTTTCCAGGCAAGGGGCTCCGCGTCCTCCTGACGGGAGACCCTGGAGGGGACCCGCCACCCTCGGCGGCCGACGAGGGAGCACCCTCCCCCTGCTGCCCTTTCCTGGCTGCTTCTGTCCAGTTAAAGGAGCAGCCGGGCGAGCCGTGGCCTGGGCAGAAGAATGGAGGACGCTGGAGGAGGACAGGCAGGCAGGCAGAGCGAGCAGCCGGGGATGGTGAGATGCTGGCCGCGCTCTCAGGGCCCGAACCAGCCCTGGACATTTGACTCGCAGCCCAGACTTCATGGCGAGCTGGACCCCCCCGCCCCAGGCCTGGAGAAAAGGCCGGGCTGGCCGTAGGACGCTGCGGCACTCGACGCAGGTGGTGAGCGGGACATATGATGGTTATATATTGATGATATCCGTAATATATGATGGAGTGTAATTTATAGGTGTTTCTTCAACTTCCGGTTCAAGTGTATCACTATTCCACCTCGTTTTTATTCGTGTTTGGGAGGCTTTTAATTAAGAGGGTTTTAAATAAAGAAATGGAAAGATTTATGACTTGCAATTTACAATTGTGCTTGGAATTTAGACCGAAAATCAGAACGAATCTTGCTCCTAAACAGCACCTGCAAGGACACTCACCATTATGCCGGGTCTTGCCCCAGCCTGTGGTGGCGCAGAGGGAGCCCGCAGGGAAGCTGGCGTTGGCACTGGGCAGGCAGACAGGGGACACGGTCTTCGAGAGGCGGGCAGGGGTGGCCAGCTTCAGCAGGGCGATGTCGTTGCGACCTGCATACCGGTCCCACAGCGGGTGTTCAAAAACCTGTGGGGACAAGAGTGGGGGTGGGCAGACCTTTGAGGGAGGACCTGGGAGATTTGGGGGGGCATGGGCCCCGAGACTCAGAGGGCACAGTGCCAGTCAGGCAAGGTGTTGGGAAAAGGACACAGGGGGCTGGACAAAGTCTCTGGAGACTGGTGGGAAAATGACGTGACACATCACTGATATTTAATTTTTATATTTTTGCGTTTTGTACAATGAGCAGACTTATTTTATAATCAGAAACAAACTTTAGTGTTTGGAAAGGAGCTTTAGTACTTGGGAAAGAAGCAAAGAAAGCTCAGGGCCAAGAGGCACAGGTGGGGTGAGGCCTGAGCTGCTGGCCGGGGTCCTCTGTGCCCAGTGACCCTGCCTGCCAGGCCCCTCCCTTGTCCCTGCAGCCCAGGGGCAGCCCTGCTGGGGCCGCTCGAGCCCACCCTCCTCAGCCTGCCACCTGGCTCTACCTTGGCGATCCTCAGCACCTGGACAGCCTCCTCGTCAGAGCCAAGATCCGACACCCCGGCCACCACACGGTGGGTCTTCCTGGGGAGAGAGGAGGCGGCAGACAGTGCTCAGGCTCCTGGCTGCCTCCTCAGAGGGGCGCCCGGGCAGGAAGTGTGCCAGGCAGGATGAGCCCCAGCTGGGCCACTGAATCGCGTGGTGACCTCCGGGCATCCCTTTCTTGCTCTGGGCCTCAGTTTCCCCATCTGTACCCTGAATGCACAGGACTAGACCATCTGTCATGAGCAGGGGGCTGAGGGGAGGGGTGCTGCCTGGAGGTTTTCTCCTGCAGACTGGGGCTCTGCCTGCGGCCAGGTGAGGAGCAGCTTCTTCCCAGCCTGCAGGTTGTCAAGACCCTTCCCCACCGGGATGGGGTTGGCAGGGGGTGAAGCTTGTTCCCAGATGCCTGGAGGCCCCGCTCCCCAAGCCTCACCTGACCCCACAGTGGGCGGCGGTGACCACCCAGTGCTGGCTGATGAGGGAGCCCCCGCAGAAGTGGAAGCCGGAGCTGGTCTGGGGAGAGGGGTGAGGGGAAGTCAGCCTTGTCTCTCCTGCCTGACCCCTCCCCATCTAACCCACCCCTCCTCCGCCTCCCCCTCACCTGCAGGGACACCTGCCAGGGCCAAGAGCTGGGGACAGCGTCCTCCCCATTGACGATCCTGGACAGGCCACTCAGCACGGGGTAGATGGCAGGAACCCCGCAGCCTGGGGCGCAGGGATACGCCACAGGTCAGTGGATGGTGTTCCAAGGGGACCAGAGTTAGGGCACTCAGGCCACTTCCACCCAACCCAGCCGGCAGCCACCCTCAGGTGCCCTTATGGAGGGTGTCAAAGGCTGAGAGCATCTGGAGTTGGGGCCCAGAGTTTGGGGGCTGAGTCTGGGGACCCCCACGTGGGCAGCTCCCCGACCCGCTGTCTGCCCTGAGAAGAGTGTCCATCCTTCTCTGAGCCCAGAGTCCTGGGTCATGGGGGCTGGGATGTCCTGCTTGAGTGCTTGGTGCTCTCTGCCTGGGTCTACAGCAGGAGCAGGTTGGGGTGAGGGCGTTATGCCACCTGGGGCACCACAAACCTAGGTGGCTGCCCACGTCCAGAGAGTAGCGGGCAGGGCAAAAGGGATGGACATGGGAGACATTCCCAAGGCAGGATTCACAGAGCTCAGTGGCAGGTGTGGAGGGTGGAGGGGCCCAGACGACCCCTCGGCTTCTGAGTAGATGGAGGAGACCAAGACGAGGCAGGGTCCAAGGGACATCTTGAGTTTGAGATGCCTGAGGGACCTTCAGGCGGTGGAGGGGCCCCCCGGTCAGGCCTAGGAGTAGGGAGCCGAGCAGAGACCCCCAGGAAGGCTGAGAGGGGCAGCTGGGCAGGGGGCCAGCCGAGGTGTGGGGGCCAGTTAGAGGTATGAGAACTTGGACCCTCTGGTTCCCTGCTTCTGGGTGTTCAGGGCAGGGGGTGGACGAGGCTGGACCTAGGGCTGCCTGAGCCTCGCACTTACCAAAGCTGATGCCAAAGAGGAGGAAGCTGAGGACAACCCAGAGAAGGGCCATGGTGTGTGGCTCAGGAGGTAGTGTGGGGTCTGCCTGAGGGACCCCCATTATATTCCCCCAGCCCACCAATCACAGCTGGCCTTACCATCCCCTCCTTATCATGAATCCTTGGGCTGAGCAGCACCTGGCTCCAGTGTGGGCCTGGGACAGAGGCAGCCCCGGGGGGCCGCGCCTGGGAAGGTTCCTGGGGACCACAGGTGTGCAGGGCCAGCAGCTGGCTCATCCCCCAGCTGCCCGCTCCCCAGAGTGGGGCACTGAGCACGCTGAGCAGGTGCTGGATGGCGAGGACCCCGCAGCAGAGGGTGGGAGCATTGAGTGAGGGGTGGGAGCCAAGGTCCCATTTCATGTGGCTGTGTTCCTTCTGGCCACTGTCTGGGGAGGGGGACTAAGGAGAGGCCATTCCGGGGACCCCCTTGCTGCCTGGCCCAGTGAAGGCCCAAGTTTGGGAGCAGAGTGAGGCCTCAGAGGCCCCAACACAGGAGACTGACACTGTCAACATGTCTTCCACTGGTTTATGGAGGCTTTGTGGGAGCAGGGTCAGCCAGGAGGCGAGGGTGGGCCTGGGGCTCCGATGGCCTCCAGGACCTGCCGCACCCAGGCATGAGCTTGGTGATGCGGGTGTACACGCTGGGGCTGGAGGTGGAGCAGGTGCTGCTGCTCCAGGACACGATGCCCACCAGAGTCGAGACTCCATCCTTCTGGCAGAACAGGGGACCTCCAGAGTCACACTGCGGGAGAGGGAGAAGGGGGCTTGGATCTGGCAGCCCAGGGGGCCTGGTTCAGGGGTCCCTGGACATTGTTCCCAGAGCGCAGTCCAGGGCCTGACAGCCAGTAGACACTCAGCACATGCATATTGGAGGGATTATGAAGGAAACTTCAGCAGCTGCTTCTCTGGTTCGTTCCCTTGGAAGTCTGGGCCACCCCCTAGGATGGGTCCTATAATGGAGGCTCAATAAAGCTAGTTTCATTGATAAGAAAAAAAAGTGTGGGCGGTGCTGGCCATGGGGCCACTATGAGGGAGGAAGAGCTGCCTGACTCAATCTGGAGACCTTTTGGACCGCCATGTTCCACTGCCCACGCTGTGCACTGCTCAACTCCAGGAAGTACCATTTGCTCAGACGCAGATATCAATGGAATTTTGCAACATAGCGGCTGAAGTACCAGAGCCCCTGGCTCTGGCACCCCTCTGCTGAGGTCATGAGTGATCCACCAGGAGCCCTGTCTTCCCAACTACTCAGAAGGAAGTACCCAGGGAGAGAGTGGCCCCAGGAAGAGGCCTGCTGCTACTTCCATTTCCTCCCTCTGCCCAAGCCCCTGGCCTGGGCTTTTGCCTGAACGCACCCCCCCCCCCCCCCGCCAGGCTGGGCGGGAAGGGGTGCCAGGGAGCCCAGGAGGCCATACTATGAAGGAGGAGGCGCCCCTCGCCCCGGCACAGACCATGAGGTCGATGACGGTGCTGCCCCAGAACTTCCTGCACTCCGCGTTGGTTGGACAGGAGGGACAGGGCCGCCCGCTGCAGCCTGTCAAGGGTGTGGGTACCTGAAAGGGCAGGGTGAGTGATCAGCACCAGCAGCCGTGCCCTGCCCTGCGGCCTCCACCACCCTCCCACTCGGCCGGCGGTCACTCACCGGGGCGGCTGGTCTTGCCCCAGCCTATGGTGGCAGCATCCCAGCAGGGAAGTTGTCGGCCTCGGTGGGCAGGCACATGGCGGACGCAGCCAGCTTCAGCAGGGTGATGGCAATGTTGAGGGTGAACCTGTTGAACTTGGGGTTCTTGAAAACCTGTGGGGCGGGGCCAGACAGCCGCAGCTGGGGTCTGGGAATAGGCTGAATCGAGGCAGAACCAGGGCGCCTGGCTTCCCCTCGCTGCCTCCACGCTGCTCCCTGGACAAAGGCCTGCTTGATCCCGTACCTCCTTCCGTGGCCCCAGGAGCCCGAGCCCCAGGCCCAGGCCGGGGTGCAGACCCTCCCCTGCGGGGAGCCTCGCACACTCTGCCTTTTGCTTTGCCCCATTGCGATGGGGTTTTGGGGTGATTGGGAGGAGCTGGGGTGCCCCTTCCCACTCCCCCAGCCTGGGGGTTTTCAGGGCTCTTGGTCCAGCCCCATTAGCCTGGGCCACCCATTCCTGAGGGCCTCCCCTCCCTGGGGTCACACCTGGACTCCGGGGGCCACCATACCTGGGCAATCTTCAGCACCTGGGGGTCCTCGGCGTCTGAGCCCTGGTCAAACACCCTGGCCACGATCATGTCGGAGGTTCTGGAGAGAACTAGAGAAAGGAAGGGGTTCCTGCTGTGAGGTGGTGGGGCCAGGCTGGGGGTGCAAGGTGCTACGTGTGCGCATGAGTGTGAGTGCACTCGTGTGCAGGCGTGTGTACATGTGTGCATGTGCATGTGTGGTGTTGATCGCAGAGATGGGAGCTCAAAATATCGACCACTGCCCACCGAAACCACTGTGCCTACAGGCTGTTTGTGTTTCCTCCCAGCAGCCCCCGGGAGACGGGCAGGTCTTGAGTATTCTACACATTTCCAAATAAGGAAATTGAGGAACGAAGGAGTTTAAGGATTAGTCCTCAGTGCTGAGGGTGTTCCCCGCACCCCAAGGGGTTTCCTGGGGACCCTGGGCCTTCATGTGATGCTGCAGTGGGCAGCGGTGACCACCCAGTTCTCGCTGATGAGGGAGCCCCAGCAGAAGTGGAAGCCGGTGCTGTCCTGGAGGCAGACGGGGAGGTCAGCGCTGGCTGGACACCAGCAGCCTCCAGCCGGGCCAGTAGCCCAGTGTGTGCCCCCCCGCACATAGAATCCCCCCTCAACCGCAGGGACACCTGCCAGGGCCAGGAGGCAGGGACAGCGTCTTCCCCATTGATGATCCTGGACAGGCCAGTCAGCAGGGGGTGGGTCATGGGGACCTGGCAGCCTGGGAGTGGCAGTACAAGGTGAGGGGTGGAGGCCGAATTCGACTCTGAGCCCCCCACCTGGGTGCCACCACCCCAGGAATCCCCCAGAGACTGCTCAGTCTGACATGGGCTTCAGCCCAGACGAGCCCAATAGGTTGAGTGTGAGGAGGTGGCAGGGCCAAAGCACGGGCTGGGAGGCTGGGCTATGTGGGCTTGAACTCAGCCCCTTCACTGCCCCGTTTAACTGCTCTGAGTCTCAGTTTTCCCATCAGCGAAATGGGGCTCATACAGTTGCTAACCTCATCGGTCTAAGGATGCAAGTTGTGTTAGCGGGCACTGCGGGAACTTGCTCTGCTCCTGGCACAGGAGCACAGGTCAGTGCTCGGTGAGCACGAGCTTAAAGGGCCCAAGAGGGCTGGTGGGGCCCAGCCACGCCTTCCCACCTGCTCAGCATCGGAGTCTGTTTGGGAGCCACCGACTGTTCAGAGAACTTTCCATCCCTCTGGACTTGTCCTCCCTGTCCCCTGCACAGGGTGCGAGACCTTGGGAGCAGCCCCAGGAAGGTCCACCTCCTCCCCAAGGGCCTCACACTGGCTGCTCTGGCCCAACCCTCCCAGTGTCCCCATTGTAGACATGGGGCTGGCGGGGCTCAGAGCAGGAGAGAGACTGACTCAGGCTCACAGCACTGCACATGGCGGAATTGGGAACAGGGACCCTGCTGCCCCTTGCTGGCCTCGGGGTTGGAGGGGAGGGGAGACAGCCTTCCTGGTCTCCGCCTGCCCCAGCACCCACCAACAGCTGTGCCCAGGAGGGCACAGCAGGAGAGGAGCCAGCAGAAGGTGGCGGTGCCATGGTTGGGGAGGTGCTGGGTGCCTGCCTGGGGGCTCCCTGTTATATCCCCACGCACCAGGCTGTTATCTGGAGACCTTGAAGTGATAATCCCTTTCCTGGGCATGTGCCCAAGTGGGCAGGATGTGCCCAAGCAGGGCTGGCATCTGGGCCTGGGACGGCAGCAGCTGCAGCCCGTGGCTGGGCTTGGAGCCAGGGCCAGGGACAAATGTGGGGCTGACCAAGGCAGCCCTCAACCCCAAGTCAAGGCCAAGGGGAAGGGATCAGGACACTTGGGCTTCCTCCTGCTGGCCCTGCCTCGGGAGGGGTCCTCTGGGCAGCAGCAAGGCCTGGGCAGGGTTTGAGCCCCAGGCTAGTCTCTCACAGTTTGGAGGACCTCAGACGAGTAAATCAGTTGGTCCATTAGTTGTTCGAAACCCCAGTCGTGTGGTCAAGTAGCGAGGAG